TAAGGCTCTTCTCACTCCTTCCTCAGCTTGGCTCAGATGAAGGGTGAATTAAGGAACAGCTTGCTTCTGGTTCAAGTGAGGATTACAAGATTAGATGTACAGCATTGCACAGAAGTTGACCACGTATTTTGTTTATGCTTCAAGGTCCCAGGGATGCAAAATGAAAAAGTAAGAGGTTTTTTTTTTTTTGCTTTAAGAATTGAAGAAATGGCTCCTGTGGTCATGATAAACAGGGTTTATTATTATTTGGAGAGAAAAAAGTGTGATGGTCTCTTAAGGTTTTTTCTAAAAGGTAAGATTCCTGTTTGACTCACCAACTGTTTTTTGTTCTCTTCTGACAGTGAAACACATAGTATTTTTTTTCACTGAAGTATCAGTTTGTTCTAGTTGCTTGTGACTTGCCTGTTAGCAAGTAAGAAAACAAACCCCATTTACTATCCTAGAGCTTGGTCTGAGATGTAGGAAACAGTAGACAAAGCATTCAGCATTCCCACATGTTTTAGAGAAAGCTGCACTAATGACAAACTTTCTGTTGCCAATAAGCCCCTAGTGTAAGAAATACTGGTAGAAATTTGAGGTATTATGGAGGTACTGGGTTGGGTACATAATGAAAAGCTGTGGGCTGACTTTCAAACTGCAAAACTCTCAGTGTTTTTGTGAATTTTCTTAAAGAAACTTCAGCTGCACTAAGACTGAGAATCCCTACCCAAACTTATTTTGGCAGAACTGCCAAGCAGAAAACCAGAGTGCATGGAAACTTATTTCTCAACTCTTTACTAAATCAACTCTATTGCAATCCTTCGAATCTCCATTCTCTGGAACAGAACATTATTGCAGCCAGTTGCTTCATTTCTTCCTGCTGGAGAACCTCAGGCAGGAAGATGGGATTTCACTCCTGCTATGGATTCTAGCTCTAGCCAGGTACATTTACTACAACTTCTTATCCTCAGGAAGTGGTGGTGGCTCTGCAGGCATAGCAGGAGGGTGACATGCCAAATCTGATGGACACAGCAGGCCAGGCTCACTTTCTTCTGTTCTCTGGCTGTTCTTGGAGTGAACGCAGAAGGGTTTCAGAAAGCCCTAACCAGCGTGTTTTTTTCCTAATAACAAGGGCAATGTCAAATACGCTGCAGGTAAACTTACTCTTTGAATTAGTTTGCTTGACTGGATTTCTGTTCCACTACATACTTGGCCCATCTGCCCTAAATGAAATTCAACTATACCTGTCCTTTAGGGGTAGATGCTGGTCTGATGGATTGAGTTGTCTTAGACCATATTATGCTCCCATATTGGGGGTGCATCCTTTCTGTTCCTTCTGCCCTAGAGACATGCAACTCAAGTTCACACATCCCACTGCTGCCCAGTGTAAAACATTTTTCCAAGCTTGAAAGAGTCAGAAACTGTAATGTGGTGTAGCAGCCAGAACTATATAGCTTGCCAGTACTATGGCAGGGGAAATTAGTCCCTCTCTCTTGCATCCAGGTTTCTTATGTGACTCACTTTAATGTGAAATTGAACTTCCCTTGTTCTGACAGATTCATAGCAGCTAATCCTCAGCTTTTACAAACTAGTCAGGGCAAATCTTCCGAAGGTCAAAAGGCATTTCTGGCAGCATACAGTCACTCCCTCGTCTGCTAATGGGTCTATCTCTCACAACACCTTACGCGTTGCAGGCAATTAATACTGTTCATATTAGCCTCAGCTCAGCATTGGCCTCTTCGCCAGAGTATGGAGAGAGAGCAAGCTGAGGTGCCAAGTTGCCCAAGATTTTATAAGTGAAAATGATGGCATCTTCCATCTAAAGACTGCAGAGCATGTTACATCCATCAGTTAATGTAGGCTTGGATCTAGAAAAGGTCTCAGCAGGAGCTTTCGTTGCTCACAAACCAAAGCCCCTCTCAGTCACTGCCTGCGCTTACTGCACATGTTACATCAGGAGGCAGCGGGTAAGAGGAGCACAGCTTTGCCCTGCAGGGGAAGGCCTGAACCCTGGAGCCTCTCCTCTCACCGTGTCCCACACCTGGGGCTGTTGTTTCTGCTGCTGTCATTCCATAGCCCCACAACTTCATGTTTCATTTGTGCAGCAAAATTGCTTCAAGGGGAGGATTAGAGAACAACCATCCTCCATCACCTGGAGCCTTGCCTCCTGGCTTGCTCCTCAGAGATGTCTTATAGAGGTTAAACCTCCTCCTGTCACCTAAGGCTGAGAAGGACTGAGGAACCAAGTCTTAATTTCTAATTAATAACCTGCCAGCTTTTCATTAATAACCTAATTAGTAGAGAAGACTCTGCTCCTGACCCCTGAAGACACAGCCCCGCTGGGAGCCCACCTGCAAAGGGCCAAACCCTCCTCCTTGGCCTTAGGGGCTGATTTGCAGCAGCTGCCCATCTCCCCGATGCTGGAGGCCCCAGTTAAACCCAGTTACCCCCCCCTCAGCATCCAGGGCTGCTGTGCGCTGGATTTTACCTCAGGGGAGCAGTGCCAAAAAGGCCATTTCCCAAAGGTGGCCAGGTCCTGCGTGGGTGAGCGCTGGGGAAGGATGTGGCAGCTTCGCTCTGGTGTGCCATGCTGGGCCTGGGCTTGGCAGCAGCCTGTAAAGGGTTAACCCCCAGGTGCTGTTAATTAACCCTCCGGCAGTGGTTAATTACTCCTCCAGGAGACAAATAGGAGCACCTGAGAGTAGGGAGCCAAGGCAAGAGGCACAGGCTGCAGCAGGAGGGACAAGCAGTGTGAGACTAGAGGTACAAGGTTAGTTTTTCTAAACAATGTGGTTTTTTAATTATTATTGGTATTAGAGGGTAGCTGCTGTTTCTGGAGACTAGAGGGCTGTGGTGTGTGGCTCCCTGTGGCTGTGAAAGGCTGGAGCCCTGAGCGGGGCTATCAGGGCGGCAGGCCCTGCCCTGGGCCTGTGGTGCTTGGCCCCTCTGTGAGGAGGCCATGGCAGCAGGTCCAGCCCTGCTCCTTGTGGCTGTGGGGGTACAGGGAAGGGCTCCAACTCCTTGTTCCCTTCTCTACCTCCTTGGCTGTGCTGTCTTGTTCAGAAGCTAACTGCTCATATTGGCTCCAATCTGATGTTACTGCAAGCATAATCTTGGAGTGAATCATCTACCTCATGACTTGATTATTTTTTATTTTTTTTTAAAATGAGTCCCTTTCCTGTGAAACAGGATGCAGATATGCCTTTGTTCCTCTCAGTCACCACCTACTTCTGGTTGGTCTGGTAACTCGCTCAGCTGTTTGGCCCCTGTTTGTGGGGTTTAAGAGCCTGTCCAAATCCCAGTGCTCCCATACAAAGGCTGTGTGTACTGTGGTACTGCTGGTGCTGCTCCCGCTCCCTGCACGCTATGCCCTCTGAAAACCCCACTGCCTGTCTATGAACTTCTGAGCTGCTTCTCTTGAGGCTGTGATGGAAAGCTGGGAACCCTGAAGGAGCAATGGGAGATGGTCACTCACTTATTTTTAATCGTAAAGAGCTCTAAGATTGTTTTTGTGCTGCTAAAGCTGGCCTCCTGCCTGGAAAAAAGGGTGAAAAAGAAAGCAACCTCCCTGCTTTTTTTGTATATAAGTGGTGAACTTTTTGCTGTTGTATAGAGCATTATAATTGTTGCTGGTAGTTCCTGCTGGATTTGTTTTGATTTCCGATCCATCTCCAGTGTTAATTTATATACATGTATGATTAAGGTACCGGAGCAGAGTTGTTGCTGCATGTGAGGGCTTAGACTTGAAGGACAGTGTTTTCCTTCAGTTTTGGTCCGGTCTGTGAGTAAAGGAAGATACGAGCAGTAGACTAACAGTGCTTGGGGAAGCTATCAAACAACATTATTCACAGCAGGAAGCTCCTGCTGATGCTGAGGAACTCAAAGTGGTTGTCAGTTTCTTTGGATGCATATCCCTTCCCATCTGTTTACCTGCTTTCCCCTCCCCATGTCTCTGCTCCTCACCACTTGTGCAGCAGCCATGTGGGGCAGAGTGGAAAGTGGTGGCAGCTGGCTCTGCTGGATGAGCAAGCAAGGGAAAAGCATCAGTCATGAGAGCTGTGGAGACTTTTGACCTTACTGAAAATGGGGGAAGGGTACTGTTAAATAACCCTGGCAACTGCAAGAAGACAAGTCAAAAAAGGACTGGACTGCTGTGATAATGGGGAGTGGCAAGAGAGGTGGAGCTGGAAATACAGACAGGGGAGCTCATTTGTAATCTTTGGTCCATCTGCCTGGTATTGCTTGCTGGGTTGCAACATAACCAATCCAAAGAAAGCAGGTTCTTGAAACATCAGGGGTCCCCTATTCCAAACAGGAAAAGTTTTTGTAATTGAAGGGCATGCAGCTTTGAAACTTTGTCCTAGATTCAAGTTCACAGAATCAAAAGCTGGTTCTGCCATTACCTGAGCAGTTAATAAAATCTATTGCCTTATGATGGATTTTTTTTCTGCAGGCTAGAATTGATCTGTCTTCATTGTGATTTGTGAGATTGAGGGGAAAACACAAAATATAATCTGTATTTCTGCTGCACTGAGAAATTTCACTGTGTTCTTCTAAGGCTTGGAAGTAACTAAAGCTGCAGTGGTCATTTTTTTGATTTATTGAAAATAAAGCATACCTTATTAACATTTTAATAAAGAGAATCTCTTTGCAGCGGTGCTCAGAGTTGCTCTTATTTCTCTCTGTGCAATTCCATTCTCTAAAAGGGAAAATACTATTGAGATCTGTAAGGCATGATTTGTTAGACTGAAACTAAACACACAAATACACCAAAGCAAAATGCTTTCTAAAGGTGCTGTGTTTGTGAGAGGTGCTTGCCCAATATGTGTGATGCAAAATGGGGATGCTTTGTGAAGAAATCATCCTTGTAAAGCCATTGGTTCTGGTCATCAGACTCTATCCAATGCTTTAGTGATGATGCTGCTGATCTATTTGGGAAGTTGGCTGGCTCTCAAGGCAGAGTCTCTTCTCAAAGGCTGTTTCACAGTGAAAATATGCTCAGTGCAGCCGAGTGCATGAATGAAAAAGCCTCTGGTACCTTCTAGTCTGGCAAAATGCAGCACAAAACTCAACTTGCTCTGTCCTTTCTGCTGTCCCAGGTAAGAAATGTGTATTTTTTCCTTGCTTGCTTTCTTTTTCCTTCTCTCGTGCATTTGGATTTGAAAGTATTTGTAATTCAGGTCTGATTTCTGGGTAATTATACATTGATTGAATTACTGCCGAAAGATGTAAGATCTCTGCTATAAGCCAGTTGCTAGGAATGTAGAATCTCATAGTTCCTTGATTTACAATTACAACAAATTTGCCGTGTGATATATAGCATTTTTTGTTTCCCTTCTGGAAGGGTGGTGTGGAGAATCTTTCAAGTGTCTCGGTAGCAGCTGCAGCAGCAATATTTTCTGTCATATCAAATGCTGCAACTTTGATTTGCCTCTTTCCTCTGGCTTTTGCCGGGTAGTAGGCTGTTATAGGCAGCTCACATTATTTATTGCTTTTTTTCTTTAAAAAAAAAAAAAAAAGGGGGGGGGAATTTGGAGGAAAAATAAAATCAGACCTTGCAAAAGGTTCCCTTCCCCATACTCTCTTGATAGATGTGTAATACTCTGTTAGTGACTTGCTATGTAGCCTTTCTCTTATTAAGCGTAATAGATCCCCCTCTGCCAGAAAGCGGAGGAAAAAACATCCAGCCTTAAAAACACAGAGCTGCTAAAGCGCTGCTGCTGCTGTCTGTCAAAGCCAAGGGACTGGCTGGGCTTTGACTTCTCGGTACCTTCTGGTTGCTCTCTTTGCCGCTCGCTGCTGTTACAGGGCTCACTTTTTGGAAGCTCTGGGGAGGTTTGAAAATCCTTTGTTGTCCAGCTTAAATGCATCCTTCCTTCTTTTGTCTTTGGAGCTCTGTAAACTTGCGTTTAGTGGTTTAGTGACAGTGGCATCCTGTGCACGGAGTAGAGAGAAAAGTTAATTCCTTTTTGACTGGCGATCGAGCGGTTTTGTTAACCCTTAGGGGGTTGGTGGGTTTTTGACTGTCAAACTAGTGCTTGGGACGCTGAGTCTGTGCGCTTGTGTTTTTTGTGTAACTGCAATCTCCAGCAGGCATTTAGTCTGCTTTTTCAAAATAGAATGATAAGCAGAGAAATGGTGAGGGATCACTGTTGGGAGAGCTTTATTGTTGAGAGAAGACACATCAAGAGTGTGTAAGTAGGAAGCAGTAGGGTGAACTGAATGCATATATGCTGTGGATCAAGGCTGGGATATTTTGGTCCTGGCTTACCCTGATAAGGAGTAAAAGCATTAGCGTGGGTGGCTGGAGTTATGGGACAGTAGGAGACTCGGTGACTGTGAGCAAGCACACAGGCATTTGGGTGGGTTCAGGATAACAATCCTGCTCCAGGGAGTGGAACAAATGAAAGTAGCTGCTTTGGGCCATAGGTATGGTGCCTGAATGCTCTGGTGAAGGATGAGTTTGAGGAGCCGGAGCGGCATGTGCTGGGGATACCTGCGGAGTTTCTTGCAGGGCCTCACTAAGGGCTGGGGCTGTGCGTACCCTGCAGGAGGGCTGGCCAGCGGGCAGTTCGCCAGCCCTGCTGAGACTGGCTGCAGCGAGCGGGCAAGCTGTTGTGGCTGGGGAGGGCTGAACGGCTCTCGGGTGGGCTGGGGATGCCCAAAGGGCTCCTGGGGAGAAGTTGGCAAAGTGGGCTGGGATGCAGCCTGGACAGGCAGCTGAGCTGGCGAAGCTGCCAGCGGGAGGCAATGCTCAGGGAGCAGAGGGGCGGAGGGTAGAGGGCACAGACAGTGTAAAGGTAACCTCTGGATATAGTGAGCTGGTGCTCCCTCACCTCGGGCTTGAGATTTGCCATCTGGACTGCAGTTTGCTTGGCTTTCTCTGTGTTTTCAGTCCTCTTTTGTCCATCTTTAGCACACTAATGAATAATCAGCTTTGAGTTTGGATTTTCTTTAGCTGTCCCTTGTAGGAAAAGCAGTATGTATATGATAGGGGAGGACAGTGTTCTAAGGCCTGTTAAACCACATAGCTGGCATGTGTTTAACGTCAGTAACTACTTAAAATCTGACAAGGTGCAGAACACCTGATTCTGAAAACAACTGCACTTTACCGATAACTTTCAGCAATACTTCAGTTTTTTCTCTTGCTGGTCTGAGCTTGCGGTGCTTTAGCATTGCTTTGCATTTAAGTGCTTAAACTGCACCCCATCTTCTTTATTAGCATATGTAGCTTTAACTGGCAATGTCTCTACCTGGTGATTTAACACATCTCCAAGTTTACTTTATAGATATGTCTAAGAGTTAATGAATTAGGGAATGAATTAGACTGTAATAAGGAAGTGTACATAAATCTGTCTTCAGGTATAAGGTTGTTGAGTATTGGCAGGTTAAAGTATGAACTGAAGGTGATAGCATGCTTGGGAAAGAAAGAGCACTTACTGAAATGCTGTGTGGCTTTTCTCTTTGACACCACATGCACAACTTTCATATGACAGGAAAAGTAAATAGAAGTATATGAGAAACAACATATTAAACAAATGCAGCCATCTGGCTGTGTAGTGTTTGTAACACATTTTGGGATTTTTTTTTTCATAAGTTTTCTTTTTTCCTCCATTAGTAGCAATAATGCCTCATATAATACAATGCTAGTGGAACTTGCAAAACTCAATTTTGATAAAATGATTTCTAAGCGTTAGCAGTCTAGTAATTCAATACTTTCTGTGGAAATAGAAGATGGGAATAACTTCATTTCAAATTAATGATAGCAAAGTTTACAGTGTAGAAAAAAGTTTGAAATTCTCGTATTCATAAGAACATGAACTAAAAAAGGTTTATTTTTAATTAAAACATCATTTCTAAAAGTATTAACTATAGTTTTATTTTTTTGGTCTGCATCTAATTCAACTGCATTTGTTAAATATAGATATAAAACTGCCTTTTGAGGCATTTAAAGGTTGAGGATGGGGAATTGCTTTTTTTTCAGCCCATTAAGTATGTTTGTAAAAGTTGTGGTAAACAGGTGGGCGATAAAATAATTTTTTCTTTTGCAAAGATTTAGTCTACACTACTACCGTTTGTCCTGTTTTCACCAAGAAGATAATTGAACAGTAGCTGGAATAGCTGAGGAAGATACGTTTCAAGTAATTCTTTAATTCAGGATCACCTTTAAAACTACAAAGCACATCTATACTATACAGCTTCATTGATCTGAAGCTGACAATAAAAACTAAGTGTACTCTGGTAGCTTGTGCAGCTCACTATAGAGTACAGTAAGCAGTAACTACAGATTTTTAAACCTATCAAATCAGAGTGGGTTTTACATTTTTCCAAAAAGATATTTTCTAAGGACTGCATACAAAATATTTGCTTTAAACCAGAAGTTGTTTACAGGCTTGCTTTTGTATGTTATGCATTTCACACAGATGACTCAACATAAAATTAAGTAAAACTTACAAGAAGAGGGAAAAAAAACTTGATAGCTTTAACAATAACTGTCAAGTTCCACTGGCTTGCAACTAAGTCAATTGGAAAGAAGTATAGATTTCACAAGCTTGTCATTACAGTGAATAAAGAAAATTAGTCCTAAAACTCTTTCTCCAAATGCGTAGCCTGTACTACTGTGTTCTTAAGCTTTTATTTTTTCAAATTTCTCCAGAAGAGGGCTCCATGCACAGCTTGAAAGTCAGCACCCATGTATTAAAAGAAATTTATCAGCTTCAGGAAAAAAGAAAAATCTTGCTCACACAAAGTCTGCTGGTATAAAATTAAAGATTATGTTCAAATTCTGACCAAGTGTTTCCCTGTTGTATTTTGTTGCTGTAGGTGTTATTTTGTTTAAGACTGCTTATAGTTTGAGAATTCTAGAGGAAAAAGTCCTGTATCTCTTCTGCTATTATCCAAGTGGTAAAAATGTTTTAAAACTGTTAGCAAAACTCAATTGCCAATTATTATGTATAATTATTTGTACTGATCAATGTTTTGTGAGCAGGCTGTCGCTTACTCCTGACAGTTTCAGGTCATCATTTTTGGTTATGTAGTCAAAAAGACCTTCTACTTGCATATCCCATTCAAAAGATGGTGTCTCCCAAAACACAGAGCCATTCCAACAGTCATGCTGTGCTATTTATCAAATGTTGCCTTGGAGGGAAGGTTGGCCCCTGGTGAATTAATATGACTTTAGGCAACAGCTCTAACCTTTTAAAGATGTTCTTAGACAGGACCTGACCAGAGTCCTTACTGCTAAGCAGGGGGGTTGGTTACAATAGATGAGTGGAAATGGGCCATGACAATGCTGCTAGAGTCATGGCATTACAATTAAACCCACTTTGTTGTGTACCACTTGAGGCTCTATCTTTCAATTTAAGATGTAGCTCAGGCAATATGTTGGGATCTGGTTTCTGTTTCTAATGATTAAAACCTGAAAAAGGTTATTCTACCACATGTAATGTCCTTGTGCCATGATTCATTGGGGGTTATTGACTTATCAGCTGGAAAACAAGTATTGCTAAAAGGTGACTCAACAGACCAGTGGAACGGGAACTATTAGAACTATGTAGATAGCAACAGTGGTGCTTGTTCAAGAAGATGTGAAGTTCTGCCTTTCATTTTCTTCCTGTTTGTTGTTAGATAAGTAGGCTCTTCCCATTCTGTTAATACATAAGGGCCGGCTAGATAACAGAGCTGCTACTGTTATACTCTTCCCGTATGACTGCTGGAGTCAAATCTCTTACATTCAGCTGCTGGGTTGTACCCATGCGCTATGTGTCAGGATTTTGGCCTCCGGTTTCAGAGTTCCCATGCCAACATAAGCTTTTTTGGGAGGAGGGGGACTTCATTTGGGACTTGAGGCAGAAATGTGAGGTTAATGGGTTTTTAATTGTTTCATGGAAATAATTTTGTCATTCTGTCATTGACAGGTACAAGCACCACATTCACTTTTTTTTTTGTTGTGTATCACTAGTATTCTAACCAGCAAAGCTTCATCTGTGCAGGCAAAAAGACAAATCTACCATGTCCACTGAGGAGGAGAGACAGAATGAGAGGGATTTATCATCCTTAGGAGACTAAGTGGGCTATAGCTCTTCCCAGTTAACTCTGG